AAACCAAGCACCCGACAAAGGCGCAGTTTCCCGGCCTTCTCGCGTAGCCTCAATCAAGCTGACCCAGGCAGGCGGGTTTCGGGTTTAGGGTACCCAAAGGGGACCATGATCTTGAAGATACGGACAGGGGCCAAATGGCCGCAAAAGGATTCTGGGGTACATCATACTACAATATACTCCAGATATAGAAGCACTGTTGAAAGAATACTACTACTATTTCTAGCACGACTGTTATTGCTACAATTACTATTATTTATTATTACTTGTTGTATTATCAAACATTCAGGCTTCGACACGGCCACCCAGGAAACCCACCAGGTTGTGAGCTACATCCAGCCAAATTAGCCCATCTAAGATAGGGGATATATGCAGGTGTAAAGGATATATGCAGGTATACTAGGGTTAAAGGGTTTAGGGTTGTGGAGGTATGTAGGGATCTGCAGGGTTTAGCATCTACGTTCGGGGAGTAGAGTTTCGGGTGTTTCTGAAAGCAGCGGGCCCTTCGGGACCCTAGGGTATGAGGGTAATTGCGGAGGAATTATGCGGATGCCAACGAACGCATGTATGGAATGATTTTCAGAAACTCCCATTTGAGCTATAGTCTAAACTCCTAGTATCCCCCTTAAGAACCCCTATAGTAGTCCCCTATATAACCCCCCTTTAAGGAGTTTAGACTAGGGGTCATTTGGGTTCAAGGCACCGGCTTAGGTTTAGGGCTCAGGCTTTGGGCAGTCCCCATGGATTTCCCCCAGTATTTACAAACGAGAGTCCGAGTAAATCGGGGGGCATATGCAACATTGGGGCGGCAAGAATGAATGAAGTCATGGGATCACTGAAATCATCATGGTACCTTTTCTGCTTGCTGCTTGAAAGAATGACTGTGAAGATAGTTTGTGCACTCGGTGGCTTCCTAAAATAGGGCGACCCCACCGTCATACTATATTCCTTTCTATAGGGACCCTCAAAAAAGTACCCCTACTTTTGGGAAAGTACCAGTCCTCTGTGGATAACTTCACGGAATCCAAGGCCACAGCGCCACGCGTACCGCCAAATCCTCCCTGACAGCATGGTGTCTTTGACTGCAGGGAAGGTCTCGTTCTAATCATCGCCATTCAAAGTAAGCATCATTGTCGCAGCGCTAAACCAAAAGCAATTGAGCATCTACTGATTCCAGGAGAGAGGTTGCGCCTTTTGAGGTTGCTTACCCTTAATCACTAGATGACATCAACTTCCCCGTGTTGTCTGCTACTTGGAGGGTCAGGGAGAGTTAGTAAGTAGGTTGATGGCCCCTATAACACATATAGTAACCCCATTTATCCCCATTCTTATTAACCTACTTACTAAGTCCCCCTGACCCTAGACCCTAAACCTTAGAATCCTGACCCCCCCAGTCCTACCCTGTTCCTAGACATGAAAAACTCTCAAGCTCTCCCAGGCATCCTTAGGTTCGTCTATTGGGTTTATACTGGGATAATGGAAAATGAAATGGAAACTACTGTAGTATATGGGGGTTATATATGGCTCATATTGGGGGTTATATAAATCTAGTTGTTTGGGTGGCTGAAGCAAGTAAGATGATATTCATCTTTTAAAGTATGATATCCCAACGGGTCTCTAATCTTGGTCTCTATTGAGGGGCGATAGTCTACCCATCTAAAGTACTTCTCATAAGAGCTCGCAGTGCAGCCACGATCCTCAATCGGAGGTAGAATGGATCGTCTTCCGGGAAGCGCCGCTGTGTTGCCTGCAAGCTCTTGGGTACCAAGCAACTCCAGTGATGATTGCTTGTTGTGTTCGTGGGCCCTTTGGGGGGTGCGCTAGAAGCAGATGTGATACAAGTTGGCAGCACATGTTCAGCGGCCCCATGCCGTACTTCCTTATACCTAACAAGTGGCTACTAACAGTAGCAGTAGCAATAGTTGCAGCAGAGTGCGTTGAGCAGCAACAAAATGCAGTGATGTACATAAGTATATAAGTAAAAAAAACAACCACACCGGTACAGAGCAGTACACGTAGGTTTCTCTCTTACCGGCCCTCATGCTTCCCACGAGCGTTTGACAGTTCCGAGACTTGAATTTCTCTTCACGCCCTTCGATTCCGGATGCCACCACCAAACAATCTTGCTTGCATGTGCTGGATTGCTTGAACGAAGTTACCACGTGACAGTAAACACACCAGGATCTCTTATGATGGGAACGTAATGCAAATTCCTTAACAGCCACCCTGTTTATAAACACCTTTGAGGGCATGCACAGGATTCTCTAGCGCATGAGCCCACCTCTGTAGGCCATGGAGGCCTCTGGGACAGGCAAATCTCATGGCTTCTTCTACTAGGTTTTTTGTTTGTGACCTTGTTTCTCCAAGGTGCAGAGACTTTAGGGTTGGGGAGATATCATCCCCCCAGTAATGGAAACAAATCGAAAAAGAACATGAAACATGGAATGGACGCTGGGTTTATATAGTGGATCATGGCCCTACTACCCCGCCTTTACTACCGTCTCGCCACAGTTTCCCCGTAATTGATGTAATTTAGGGAGAGAAAAGGTTAATTAAGGCCAATGGGGTGGACGCTAGGGGGTAGTAGTGGGCTTTGCAGGGGAACCCATGACATTCTGAGATTGCGAGGAGTTCGTGTTCACTTGGGACTGGCTGACCAGACACATATACGGGTTCCCTTAGTTTGGGAAACTACCATACATATATACAATTACTTGCAAAATTGGGCAAGGTAGGTGTTCGGACGTTGTTCCTTGTCATGGTCGTCCTGCACACCTCAGACCCTGGGAACTACTGTACCGCCCCATATTACCCCCTGTGGTTTCCATTTTCTTTTCAATTGTCCCTATGTAAACCCTAAATATTCCCTATATAACCCCTATAAGTAAGATCTATCCCGCCATGTCGAAAGGGTTCTCAATGAGTCAGGTTTTCCTTGGGCATGTCTCCGCATGAAGGTCCCCTTACCTACCAAACTAAGCACGACAATCCTTATTCCAAGGACCCCCAAAAAGAGAAGCCTAAATGCCACATATCCCCGCATACCCCCAGTTTCCATTTCAGTTTCCATTCTTCGCCTAGTCCCAGCCCCCACAAGCTTCCATGAGGTCCCAGCCCTTGAAACTGAAGGCAAGCTCGTCATGACCTCGAGCAGATCTCCTGGTCAGGAAGACATTCTCTCAAAATGACTGAGAGGCTGTCAGAAAATGGAAGTCACGGTAGCATTTAGAATTGGGACCGAATGGAGGTCCCTTTGTCCCATAGATATGGGTGGTTTGCTGGAATCATGTAGATGACTCACACGCTAAACTACCATGTGGATATGTGGCGCCTGTTACAAAGAATTGCCACAAGCACGCTACTCGCAAACCCTGAACCAGCGGGCAGAACTCCCACATCCGGCCTTTGGGCTGCAGGATGTGCCCTAGTCACGCTTGCTCTCATCGCTTGTGGGTCTATGTGGAAGTCACTCTCTCAGTTTGCTGCAAAGTTGTGACTGTTTGGCATCTGACACCGAGGAGTCTCAAACATCATCTGCGCGAATCTCAAAAGGGACCTTTGTTTCAAAATTTTTGCCAAGTGCGAGCAGCATGTTGCTACGAACTTGAAACATCACTCGCATTGGTATGATTTCTTGTAAAACCTCTCCTAATATACTATAGTAGTTTCCATTTTCGTTTCCATTATCCCTAATACAACCCCAAGATATCCCCTATAATCCCTAAATAAACCCTATATAATCCCTGTAGTTTCCATTTTCTTTTCCATTATCCCTATATAACCCCTATATTACCCCAATATTCTACAAGCCCAGTAACAACAGCCCTTTCATTCCTTTGGCCCCCATAGCACGCTGCTTTCTACAGTGTTGCATCTGCTCTGAGAGCTTGGGCAAGCAAAGCTGCAAGAAAGTGAAACTGATGAACAAATTGCGGGTTCCCTGCTACCGCTGCTACTCTCCCTCACCTAATGTGGGGTTGCATTGGGATTATAAAGGGTGTGGGGGCCCCTTTTAAGGACTATGTAGGGACAACTTTGATCAACTCCATGAACCTCCCAAGTATGGTCTTCCCAATCTTGCAAAGACCGCGGGGTCCGACTGGGGATTTCCAAAAAATTGAGGTCCCTCTCTGGGCATCTTTATTTGAAAGAAATAGACCTAATGTAGTATAGTAGTTTCCATTTTCTTTTCCACTATCCCAATATAACCCCAGTATTATTCCTATGGCTAACATTTTGAAACAAAGGTCCGTTGTGATCCCTTATCTGGAAACCCTCAAGTTGGCGCAGTCGAGGAAACATGCCCGAATGTGAATATCATGGGGCCAAGACGATTTTCAACTGCACAGTTTGCGGGTCCATGCCCTTCTCCCTTTGCTCCCTTCGGAGGAAAGGCCAGTTTGTGAGACACACGGTGGTATGATACATGCAGGTACAGGTAGTAACATGGCAGAAGCGCATTTGCCTCGCCTCTAATGTGGGCCATCAGTCGAAGGCTTTCAGATCGGGGACCTGCTGGAGTGGTACCCCACGGATATGTGCTATGTGTATATGAATACATAGTATACACACTATAGTACTATGATATACCATAATATACACTATAATCTATACTATTCCACATTCATGATCTCTGCAAACCCTGAAGTGACAGGACACCTACTTTGGGACCCGCAGAAACGGGAAGGGAAGCACACACGTGACTCAGAAGCGTGTACCTTAATCATGGCTTGGAGTCCAATGCCAGTGGCAATGCTGCAAAGGAGAACAATCATACCTAAACCCTAAGCCCCCAACCCCAAACCCTAAACCCTTAACGCTTGACCCTAAACCCTTAGCCCTAAACCACAAACCCTAAGATTGTAATGGTGGGCCTTGAAGCTGCGGCTCATCATGGAGCGGTTGCCCGGCTTCACTCGTCCAATCTGCAAGGTTGGGGCTCTGAGGCAGATGCTAGACGGCGCAGCCTGCAGATCCTCGCACAAAAGATTGGCCCGCCTCGTTCATGACGTTCTCTGGGACATGCCCCGCATAATGCAGGGTATTGACATGGAACCTCGTATTGACATAGCTTGGGAAATGTATGCAGCACTTTGAACTTGGGCCTAGGCTGCTGTGTGATGTTGGACTTGTCACTGGTCCTGATGGTAGCCCCGCTCTCCACTCGAGCTGCATAGGGATTCCTGCCAATCACCGAGGTGTCATCGGATGTTTGAGTAATCTGGGTTGCTGTTCTGAAGCTCATGGGTTACATGGATATATGGTTGTTCATATGCTGTCTGCGTTGTGGTGGCTAAATTCGAGTTCCGCAACAGCAACCCAGCAATTTCACAAAGACATGCTCTCTGGGTGCCTGATATTCGTGGGCAGGAAGCCATGATAGCCAGGGATGTGAAGCGTTCCCTGCCAGGAGTATCTCTCGCCAGCAGCTTTACTCCAGCAAGCTAGAGTAGGGGCCTAGAAATGATTGCCAAGATTATGGTCATAGTTCCTTATATAATGCATAGTGATGATATAGGGCGCCTGAAGTAGACCTCAAGATGATGTTGGTAATCATTTAGGCCCCTGCATTCGATAATGTGCGGCCCTAATGGGTCAGAATCATGTTTCGGGGGTAGGCTATCTGTCAAGAATTTTGGTGCTTGCAAGTATCTGTCTTCTACAAGACTAGCTACATTGCACGCAAGAGTATAACCTTGTGATGGCTGCACGTTCTTCTACTGTTGATGCAAACTATCCTGCATGACGTGCAGTATCCTATCTTGGGAACTCTGCTGTTCCAGTATACCAATGTCATGCAGGAGATTTTTGTCTCACTAGTACCCAAATATCATAAAACATCCCACTAGCCAGCCTTGGGCGTTCCCATGGTCAGTGCTGTCTTTGCGACTGGGATTCGGTCCTGCAGTTGGCGTTGATTGTGCAAGGACGTGCTGAAACATATGAGGGTTTCCCAAACAGGGAGGGGGTATACCCTCAAAGCCCTCAAGTGTATAAGTATGAATATTTATATATATATACATATACATACTTATATATATATGACTATATGAGCAAACATATGGGAGTTGTCAGTTCATGATGGCCATCTCAGGAATCGCATACCTCATGTTCTGACAGGAGCCCATAGATGCACAACCCATGGATCTCATGAGCTCTAAGACATTCATAAGGTATCAATGCATGCAGCGCGACGTGGGAAACATGTAGCACTGACAGTTCATCAAAATCATCTCCTTACCCTAAACCCTTAACCCTAGAATGCGTATATGTCCAGGTGTCGCCAAGGATCTCTTTGTTGGAGAAGCTCTTTTTTAGGATCATATACTGCCCGTCCTCTTTCTCCCCTTGGGTCTAGTTAGGATGTATTTGGATCTTTTTAGTGTAGAAGTCGGTTTCATAAGGAGAGGGGCATAATATGAGATCCCAAAAACAGCTTATGCAGGAAAACTGCGGCTGTCCAGAGCTGGATCCACCTTATCGCGCGGATCGGAGCCGTAAACGCCGAAGTCTTCCGTGAAGGCACCTAAACTTCAGCATGCCGAGGTTTGAGGGTTTCCAGGTTTAAGGGCTTAGGGTATATAGGGTTTAGCGTATTTTTTTTGTATATAGGGTTTAGGGTAGACTGGGATGTGCATGGTTTATGGAGCTATATAGGGATAGTGGAAAAGAAAATGGAAGCTACGATTAGGGTTTAGCCAGATTTAACGGGGTTTCCCTTGAAAGGGGGATATAGGGGTTATATGGGGTTACCTAGGGTTATGTTGGGTTTAGGGATCAGAATTTAGCGTTGTTGGGGTCTATATTGAGGGTCCCTATTTTGGGAAACCACCGTTTGAGGGTTGAGGGCGGATGATTTGGATCCTATGGGTTCTGCGGGCTCTTCTGACCGGTTCGCATGAAGTGCAGCAACAATCTGAAACTACGCATTACAGTTCCCCTCAGCCTCGCATTGCCTAGGAACACAGCCTGGAGGAACGCATCCTGTTTACTGCAGCCTGGTACTTTCAGGTTTATGGATTGTTAAAAGGTTATGAACGAATTCTCACGCTGTCATTAATGATTGTACCTCCATCCTTACCTATCACTACCCAAGGGAAAGTAAAGTCGGGCCCCTTTTTCCCAGCAATGGCGGGGACGCGCTTCGCTGGGCCTCTGACTCATCATGCCGCCGCCTCCGATGCAAGTCGGAGGGTTGGCGGCCTGCGCAGTTGGCATCTCAAGACAAGGTCTAGGTTCAATATTAGGGTTATATTGGGGTTATATTGGGATAATGGAAAATAAAATGGAAACTACAGGGATTATATAGGGTTTATATAGGGATTATAAGGTATATGTTGGGGTCATTTTGGGATAATGGAAAATAAAATGGAAACTACGATTTAGGGGGTTTAGGGTTTATAGGTGGATAGGACTTCCGATGGCATCACCACTTGTCTGTACAGCAAGATTTGTGTCAGTTTGCCTGGTACACAGGCACACAGGAGACTTCATTTTGAGTAACTCCTGTGTAGACTGCAGGAATTGGGGGCTTCTCTAGAATTGGACTCCTGTAGGGATCTCGGATCTCGGATATAATCTCCTGATATTCAAACCCGCTAATATGAAATATTCCCAGTATGTGGGAGTATACCGCAATGGGACCTTTTATATTAGGCGGTTGAGGGGATTTGAAAATAAGAGGGAAGTGATTACAGGCGTATGATAGGGAGCTTGCTTAGGTCTCTCCAAAGGATAAAATGACGGCCTTTTTAAAAGCTTTCAGCCAGCACTATTAACATGGATTTGTGTGGTGTTGCAGCGATCATCTAGGTATTAAGAGTAATAAAAACCGATAACAATTTTCAACCTACCCCTATATGTGAATAGCAACATCCGCAGAATGCGCTCCTTAGAGATCGAGAATCTTGCATGTGTTGTTATGCACGGATGCACAAGGATCATTCAACAACACTGAGCATTCAGTGCACGCGGTCCATCTAGAAGCTCTACGCAGGGTCAAAATACTTTGGTCTGCAAGTCAGTTTCGAGCTACCTTGCACAGGCCTGGTACGAGGGCCCATGCTGCCGGTGGTAGACGGCACCCACAACAGAGTTCGAGTCGTGGGACGTTCGGTACGTCGACGACCAGTGCGCAGCACCCCTGCGAGGCAGTTGAAGGGTTCAACAGTGCAGCATCAGATGAAACATCAAATGGAAACTGGGACTGGATAGGATTTAGAGCTACAGGCATGCATTGGTTCAAGACCTCGAAGCAATTCAAGGAACAGAAAAAGAGTGCTAACAACGATGATGTTTTTGATGATGGGGGTGACATTGATGATGACCACCGTGGTGACACTGCTGGTCGCAGTAGCAATAGCTGTAGCAGTTGCAGCAGTTGCATCTGCAGTAGTAAGTGGGCGAAGTCGCAGCGGCTGTCATAGTTCAGTGATTCGTCGAGAACCAAGACATCTAATCTAGATGCCTCATTATCCACTGAGAAATCCTTGTCCCGCTCTACCGCCCTATGCAGCCTGAAAACCTGACTCCCAGGCGCCTGTGCCCGACTGAGCTAGCCGGAGGCTCTTTCTGCCGGATCGGCTGGACTGGATTCTGGCAAGACGCGCGGAAAATGTCAAGAAAGACAGAGCACAGAGCGGACTCCACGTTGCAATCTGCATGGCAATCAAAAAGCCCAACATGGAAGCGTCATGATCAAGCTAAATCTTGACCGCGAATTGGCATCAACTAGCTGTCCTTGTAGTCTTCAGGAGTTGTCAGCTGTGCAATCGTCCTGTTCAATGCGAACGTCTTAGCTCACATGTGCGTGCCAGACTCAGGATTCTGGGCCCCGTGCTTCTGGTACATGGACTCAGGTGGAAGACCATCACTAATGTACCTGACATTTGCAAGTTGCTCCTGCTGCTGGATTTCTTGTGGGAAGCTGCATTGCTGCTGGCATCGAAACAGAACTGACAGTCGCACGTCGTCTTTGGCGCGGGGGCTTCCTCCGAGTAGACCGCTCTGCTGGAGGACCTCATGAACTCGGGGGCAGAATGCATCGAGGGTCTAAGAAGATGTAACAGAAGAAGGAGAAGCATAAAATGGTGATAGCAGCCATGCTTGTCAACAGTGAGAAACACAATGCTCCTGAAACTCAGATCTGCAGCGGTGCGCCGAATGCCTAATATTTGAAGCAACCTCAATGGATGCTCTGATGCTTTCCTGTACCCATAGTCTAGTATGTCCGAAACTTCTCTTGAAACCTTGCTATGCTTCTTTGCGGTGCCCACATAAGTTGGAGGCGACACTTGTCCAGGTTTCAGTGTCGGTCGAGGCATCTGCGCGACAGCAAGCCAATGGAAGTTCAGTTCATATGGGTGTCTAAAGATCCTGCAAAAAGTTTCTAAACTACCATATCTTTCAAAGATGCGAATCATTTAGAGTGGTGCAAGCTTTCTACTATCAACCGTCTCACTCTTACGAGGTATGCAGGCCTTAGGAGGGTATAATGTCCACCTGCAATCGCTTCCAGCAAACCACCAGACGAGTGCCACAGGGCTTTTGTCAAGGGCTTCTTGCGAGTAACGCTTTTGTGGCTGAATCAAGTAAGATCATATTCTTCTTGCAATATACCATACCCAAAAAGAGGATAGACGCTTGCTCTTTAATGGGGAACATCATCTCTCCCAAAACCTTTTACTCATGTGTGGGTAGGTGATGACTGCGCAGGGGGCTCTAAGCTTATTGCAACGGCGTCTTTCCAAGATTTTTCGGTGATGTTTTTGAGGAATGGGTATTTCCAAGCCTCTTACGCACACCATAATACTATTCGACTAGACTATAATCTCCAAAAAGGGGGCCAACAAATGGGAAAACTCCGGAATTCCATGTATACAAGCCTCCCATGATGTGAGGTAGCAGGCATGCTGCGTGGCACGCTTCGGAACATGGGACATGGCAGCTCCTGAGTTCGTCAGGAACAACTTTCAGAGGATTAGCTGACTTGGAATCGAGGTTTCCCCTCAACCCTAAACCCAAGCCCTAAGCCCAAAGCCCTAAACCCTAATCCTTACACGGGAATTTCTCAAACTGGGAGTATCCTGGAAGATCCTGGGGCTAGATGGGGAAGTCTACCAAGACTACAGAGCTCCTTCTAAAGGGAGTCTTGCAATATCTAAGGTTTAGGGTTTAGGGTTCAGGGTTTAGGGTTAGCCCAGGAAAGCCCTTCCGGCTACTAAACCCTAAGCCGCAGCCCTAAACCTTCAATAGTAGTTTCCATTGTATTTTCCATTATCCCAATATAACCCCAATATTACCCCGAAGGGTACTTCCTTGGGGGCAGGAGGGAGGAACTCCTGGAATGCGAGGTGCATCATGCATCATTAGGGTTTAG